CGTTATCTACCCAGGATGCTGCGAGAGGCCATTGAAATTAAAAAACATCCTAATTTCAACAGGGAAGATGGTTTCTCCGTACCACCAGTTTAGGATCCAGTATTTCCTCTAATGAAAAATCTCAAACAGACATAAGACTGCAGTACTGATTAATATGTTTTAGATTATTCTAATTTCTATTACTTCTCTCCAAATTTTAGAAAACGATTATTGTGTGGCGCATAAAAAAGTTTTGGGAAGATTTCACTCTTGAGACCTCCTCCCTTAATTTCCAGGCATCTGCGGCGCCAGCGCATCCGGGAAAACTACAGTCGCGGCCAAAATCATAGAATCTCTGAACATACCTTGGGTCACTATAGTCAGCATGGATTCATTTTATAAGGTACATTGTAGTGCAGCACTTAAATATTTCTGACAGAACCACGATTCAATTCCCGGTAAAACATTTCAGGATCAGAATTTTTATAATGATTTAGGTGTGTGTGCGTTCTAAGTAGAACTTCTTAATCTACTGCGGGACTAGTCTAGTGGGAGAACGGTTGCATCTCCATTGGAAGATTGACGACGGTTCGAATCCCAGTGACATCATGTAGCAATTCATCTGGTGAACCGTGAATAAAAATAAAAAAAAGTGAAAATGAACCTTAAACCCAAAACCTAGATACTTGAAAAATCTAATTATTTCCAATGCGTAATGGTTCCAGGTGTTGAATGAGAAGCAGCACCAAGCGGCTATGCGTAATGAATACAATTTCGATCATCCGGACGCCTTCGACATGGAGCTCCTCATCTCGATGCTGCAGAGGCTCAAAGAAGGAAAGAAAGTCGAAGTGCCCATTTATAACTACGTCACGCATAGCAGGGAGAATCGCACTGTGAGTAAAACCAACTAGAAAATTCTGGAATTATTATAATATACTCTAAACTGCCTCCGTGGCCTAACGGTTACCATGCCGGACTGCCATGCAGAGGTCCCAGGTTCGATTCCCGGGCTGGGAGAAATAGTTGTATGGCCTACAATTATTTCTCTCGTGAGTTTGGATGTAATTTGTGGTTGTCTATGTGTGTGTCCGTGGCACCCGCGACACAGGGTTTCCCTAGTGCGGGGCTATGTTGAGTTATACATAAGCAATAAAAATACATATTTCCAATTAAAAATTATACAGGGTGGCCGGGATAATGACGTCCCAAAAAAAATTTTAGGTGCCTCATACATGGGGGTGATTCGGATACCCCTCAGTATGAGGCACCTAAAATTTTTGCGTGTGTTCCGCGATTTTTCGTTGTTTCGAGTTATGATTTTTTAATGGATTTTTTTAAATATTAAACCGGATCGGCTCTAATTTAATAATCTTTATGAATTGTACTTTAGCGCACAAAATAATCTGCTTCGTAACGTCAATGGAAGCTTCCAAAGTTTTGACTCAAGTGGAAAATTCGAGAGAGCCAGACTTGGAATTTTCTACTTTAAATTAAAAACCGGCAATTTCAAAACTGGGTAACTTTAAAAACTGCGGTATACTCCAAACTTTCTTATTAATACACAAAAAGTAGTACTTAATAGGCCTTCAAAAAATAAATCATTGCCTATTTCGTCTTTCCCAAAGCTAATTATGGTAGAAAGTGTATAAAGCAATAAAATAATAACTGTAGCTAAGATCTGGATATTTTAAATTTTATTTAATTTTACCCTAAATTTATGTATTCGTTCGAAGTATTCGTTCAATCATTCGTTCACTAAATTATTATTACAACCTTGCAGAAAACTATGTACGGCGCGAACGTGATAATATTCGAGGGCATTCTGGCATTCTACAACGCTGAAGTGGTGAAGATGCTGGACATGAAGGTGTTTGTGGACACCGACGCGGACATACGGCTTGCCAGGCGGCTCAGGAGGTGAGTTCAATGGTTTTTTATGATACCAAGTGACTGGACTTATAAGTCGTGCGTCTGATGGTAAGCGACACGTCTGTCCATGACTGTTGCAGTGCCACTCAGAGCTTCTGAAGGTCTGAGGGGCACTGCGCCCTTCACCCTGAGACATAAGTTGACAAGTCCCACTTGACTCATGTAGTTTCACCAGCACCCTTACTCTTAAAAACCGGAACTTGAATTGAATATTTAAATTTTTGTTGAATTGATATTCAATTATTTTTCATGTGAAATTACTGCACTAGTTTGTTATAATTATTAATACAAAGATGGAACACTCAGAAAAAAATCCTTTGATCCGGCCGGATTTGAACCGACGTCTTCTAGCATACCGTGTCAGACGCTATACCAACCAAGCCACGGAACGAACCAGCGGACCTCGAGATTGACCTAAGACCGCTTCGGCGCCCAGGGACATAGTCCAGCGCGGCCGCGACCTGGAGGGCGTGCTGAAGCAGTACATGTCGCACGTGAAGCCCGCTTACCAGAGCTACATCGCGCCGTGCATGGCGCACGCCGACATCATCGTGCCGCGCGGGGGCGAGAACAAGGTGGCCATCCACCTCATCGTGCAGCACGTGCACAAGCAGCTGCAGCTGGTCAGTGCCGCGAGATCGCTTCTCGCGCCTCGCACTCTCATCCACACACTTCATCATCCATCCATTACAAACACACACACAACACACACACCAACGCCTGGGTGTTTTATTTTTCTCAATTTAAGAATTTGTTTCAAAAATATATGCACGCGATGATGCGAAAAAAATAGAAAAAATATATGGTATCGCTTTTATGACTTGTGTTGTGTTGTGTTGTCCCGACGGCATGATAAGAAAATGAGTGGTTTGATTGTCCAATCCAGTTTCCCAAAGATGTCCCTACTCAGTGGGCGCTGAGGAGTCCTTGGGCTAGGGCGGCAACAATAGTAGGAGATCTCGGAAGTAATTGGGGGGCGTTGATGCAGTCCAAGGGGGTGCTACTGCATTTGAAAAAATACCTGAATTATCTATATAAACTACACTACTATTGGCACTTTTTTCCTTGTGATTTTTTGTGTTAAGTTAATAAAAAAATACGTGTAATCAATTTTTTTTTTGTGATGGTTGGCGTTGACATTTTTTTATCTTGCCTAAGTGTTAAACCAAAAAGTTTCGAAACCAATGGTCCAATAATAATGTACTGGGTTGGACATATCAAATCAGTTTTATGTATATTAAATAAATAGTGCAAATGGAAATTTTACTAACAATTTATTTGGGTCTCAGCCTAAAATAAGGAATTTCTAATTTCGAATCAGGGAGTCTTTCTTTAAGCTCCAGTCACCACAAATTAATTTATGTATATATAATATATTATATAATATATTACTAATCATATTATTATGATCCATTGTTCTTTGTTAAACTTTTAAGTATCCACACTTCCATGGCGTCTCGGTCTCCGATGAACACTTAAACTGCGTCTCATAATTTTACCATACTACTATGGCAATAGCGCATGTTTTATTCTCAGTAATGTGGCCGTAGAATTGTGACAAGATGTTCTGTGTTGTCTCCAGCGCGGGTTCAAAGTACGCGAGAAACTGGCCGTGGCGCACGTGGGGCAGCCCGTGCCTGACTCCTTGTTCGTGCTGAAGGACACGCCCCAGGTAATTCTTGCTCTTTAACTCGGAACATTTCGTTAGGCCTTTGGTAAATAGTATCTAATTTAATTGGATTTCATTGGAAAACAAATTAAAAACCGAAACATGGACGTATCATGTAATATATAATTAAATGTGTCCCTAAGCAATAGGTTGGTATCATTAACTCGTGCAGTCAGGGATTAAGTAAGAAACGTTTGTATATTTATAATAATAATTTCTCTATTCACTTTTCACAGTAATTAGTTCGAAACAAAAGACAAATATGGTTAAACGGATTTTTAATGGCGTGTGACGAATTCACAGGGAGCGGCCGCGCTCGGTTGGTTGCTTTTCAAGTAACTCTCACAAAAATCCCATCTTGTCATTGTGCGCTCGTTTATAAAACATTAACCATGGACTTCACACGCAATGATCCACGATATGTCTAGGTACAAGGACTGCATACGTTCATCCGCAACAAAGACACGCCCCGCGATGAGTTCATCTTCTACTCCAAACGCCTCATGCGGCTGGTCATCGAGTTCGCAATGTCGCTGCTGCCTTACTCCAGCCACAGCGTCGATACGCCTCAGGGATTTACCTACAAAGGTAACCTCCATAGGACAGGTTGATGCTGTGACAGGAATAGTGGGTCAATCCAAAATAGTTCCTTTTATGACATATCACTGAGATTTGTTCAAATGGACACCGAGTTTTCGCTTAAAATAATTACATAGCAACATTGAGATGGTCTACGATAAGTCAAGTGGGCGCGATTTTTAAATAGTCTTCTTAGTGAATTAGATGCTTTTGAAATAGGCCACATGTGTATAACTCAATTTTGATAAAAATGTCAGTTACGCGTTTTTAAAATTCCGATGGCTGAATAGTAATGTTTATGGCATTGCAGTACATTACCAGGGTTCATGTTTAGGTATAAAACATTTTGAAACCATATTTACTACATGAAATGCCTTACACTTAAAAATAGACACAAAACAGAAAACAATATTCATATTCATATTCATATATTTATTGTCACATGTACGTAGTCAGGTGTTACAATGTTTATTAACATTACGACTAGAGTGTAGTACATGACCCTGAAAAGGGCACTGTCAAATTCTATAGGTACTTCAAAAAATTATACAAAATAAAATGAAAACAATAATTGGTAAAAATTTAGTATAAAATAAAAATGTCAAAAACTTAAATAGCATATCAAAAATAATTTATAAAAGCTAAAACACATTGTCAAAATTATTATAAATCAGCTCATTATCATAATTATAATTTTTAGTTTATGGTGTTGTAATTATTATTATTTAATATAATTAATCGTCTAAAAAATTTTCAATTGTGTAATAGGTTTTCCCCGTCAAATATATTTTTAATTTTTTATGGAAAATTCTATCATTAGCTTCATCTTTTATGTCAGCAGGTATTTTATTATATATTTTTATTGCGCGATAATATGGGCTGTTTTTGTACATTTCTAGCTTTGGCTTGGGGAGTTCGAGCTGATTGTTCCTTCTAAAACTCTGTACGTGTTTGAAGTCTTGAATATGCCTCCTAATGTATGATGCTGCTTCGAGTATATACAGTGAGGGGAAAGTAAGGAGGTTTTCTTTGGCAAAGTATGGGCGACAACTATCTCGGGGGCCCACATTCATGATAATACGAATAAATTTCTTTTGCATTACAAAAATATCTTCTTTATTGGTGCTACTACCCCACAGCATGATGCCGTATTTTAGCCATGCGTAGGCGTAGGCATAATAACTGGCGAGCGCCGCTTTTTTATTACTATTTGTTTTTAAATACGTAAATGAAGACAATTTTGATTTTAATGTTTCTGTGTGCGTCTTCCAATTTAAATGAGAGTCAATATTTATTCCTAATAAATTAAAGTTTTCTACTTCCTCAATGTTTAGCATAGTCACTACAGTTTTAAGGTCCAGTTTTTTCCTTTGATGTGGTCCGAATTGAATAAGTCTAGTCTTATCTAAATTGATCTTAAGATTGTGGTCTGACAGCCAGTTTTTAACCAAATTAAAAGAATGTAGGATATTGTTCATACTGTCACTATCATCCTTACACCTGAATAGCAAAGAAATGTCGTCAGCATACATAACACAAAGGGTGTTCAAAGATTCCGGTAGTTCATTTATGTAAATGATAAATAAGATACACCCTAAAACACTGCCTTGGGGGATAGAGTGGTTTATAGTTTTTGTTGTTGATTTCACTCTATCGATTGAATTTAAGTCTTTATCCCAATATTCGATTTCCACATACTGTTGTCTATTCAGTAGGTAAGATTGGAACCATCTAAGCACTCCTCCTCTTATGCCAATGTTATGCAATTTCTGTAATAATATTTTGTGTGATACCGTGTCGTAGGCTTTGGACATATCGAGTAACAATCCTACTGCCCAATTACCTTCGTTTATATATTTGTATGCTTCTTGTATATATTTAGTAACCGCGAGAGTTGTTGATCGTTTCTTACGAAAACCGAATTGGTTATTGTTCAGTAGTTTATATTTCTCCAAGAATCGAGTCAATCGATTAGCCACTACTTTTTCAATTATTTTAGATATGACCGGTAGCAGTGCAATAGGCCTATATTGTGTGACATCCTCTTTTTTACCGCTTTTTTTAAATATAGGTTTAATTTTTGCTACTTTAAGTTTTGATGGGAAACACTCTTCATCAAAAGATCGATTTATTATTGACGTTATTGGCCCAGATAATTCGATAGCACAGGCCTTAATTAGTACAGCTGGTATTTCGTCTGTTCCGTAACTGTATTTGTTTGGCATAGTTTTTATTATCTTGCAGACCTCGTACTCAGTTGCGGGTTGTAGGTAAATAGAGTTTAGGACCGGTTTGGCAGACGAGGAGGGCGGGCGGTGGCCTGGTATCGTCTGATGCGCTGGCTGACCCACCGACGCAAAGTAGTCATTGAATATATTTGCTATTTCTGAGGGAGATTCATGTGCAAAATTATTTAACATCAATTTTATGTTTTCGTTCATTTTTATATTAGAGTTTTCTTTATTTGTTACAGTTTTTATTATTTTCCACATAGTTTTTGTAATGTTTTTAGATTTTGAGATCAGTTTAGAGTAGTTAATTTTTTTACATAATTTTATAGATTTTTTAAGAGTTTTTTCGTATTGTTTATAGTGACGTTTTAATATAACATTATTCGTTTGATTTATAATTTTTTTCAGTTGTCTTTTATGTATACATGATATTCTTAAACCAGTAGTCAACCATTTGAGTTTTTTGTTGAGGATTAATTTAGTGCGACGCCGCGGTATACATTCGTCCATTATATCTATTAGTTTATTTTCAAAAGCTATGTAATTTTCGTCAATATTATTTGTGTTTTTAAAGAAATAATTCCAATTTATATTTGCAATTTTCGATTTAAAGAGCGACATATTTTGTTTTGAATAATTTCTATTACTTAAATAAACCTGTTTAGTTGTTCTTAAATCATTCGTTTTTAATTTAATATTAAAAATAATGCCTTTGTGATCGCTAATACCATTATCTGCTACTGTTGCAGTAAACATTGTATAATTTGTAAATAGCAAGTCGATGCAACTTGACGTACTATGAGTCACCCCTATAATAAAAACTCCTATGACAGCATAAATGTGAGTTTTAGTAGAAAAAGCTTCATCTCTAGATAAAGAAAAATATCACGAAACCTGCACATCGAAGATGGTTCTGAACCTGTGAAATCCCCAATGATGATAACTTATTACAGGACGCAAATGTGATGTGGAGAAAGTCTGCGGTGTATCAATCCTCCGAGCTGGGGAGACGATGGAGCAAGCCGTTTGCGATGTCTGCAAAGACATACGCATCGGGAAGATCCTCATTCAGACCAACCAACAGACTGACGAGCCCGAGGTATATATAGCACCCGAAATAATAAAGTGATCTAATTCGAAAAGTGGTGTGATTGCAAAAAAAATATTGGTGGTAGGGAAGTGATTTCACAAAACAATAATTGAATATCATATTGGTGAAACATCCTCACATTCAATAAAAACTTAATTACAATTAAAAGGCGACATCTCTAGCCAGCTGTTGGTAGCTGTAAAGGTACCTAACTGGGTGGAGAAATACTTTCATAGATTTCTCACAGATGGCGCTACGACAAAAGTCGTTATAACCAAAAACAATGATCCGGCAACATGCACATAGAAAATTTCGTAAGGTCCGCTGGTTCGATCCGTGGCTTAGTTGGCATAGCGTCTGGCACGGTTGGCTAGAAGACGTTGGTTCGAATCTAGCCGGATCGAAATTTTTTTTCTAAGTTGAGTAATTTCACAAAAAATAATTGAATATCACAGTGATGAAACATTCAATAAAAAGTTAATTGACACAATAGTTTAAAAATAATAACGTTAGAAGTGAAATTAATGTATAATTTTACTTGTCAAATAGAATTGCATATTATAATGGCCACATGAGTTATTTTCCTTTAATCTATTTTGTTTCTCGTCCAAAAATAACTTTTTCTATTAAGTCACTTTAAAATTAAGGGTGCTCTATATGGAGTTGTTGAATTTAACATAGACAAGGTTAGTAATAACGTTCATGCATGACATCATGCCAGTCGCCCGCGGGAGTAGGGACACCTTATGGATCTCTATTCGTTATGCTACTTCCACACATCTACCTTCCCCCATTCGCAAGTTACAATTTTGTCAACTACTTTTATCCTCAGTTACGTTGTCTTTTTAAACACTTTGTTTAAAAGTCTCTTACTAGGAATTTGTTGTGGTTCATTTCACATAGCATGGGTACGGTGACGTTTGAGATTTGAAGTTTCTGGATATAAATTGGAATGAAAAAAAAAAATCGATTTAAATATCTTATCAAAATAATTTGTAACGAAGAATGAATCAATTTAGAGATAATAATTTAAGAACAAATATCAAAGAATTCGATTCAATTATTATCTTATTAAGTTACTAAAAAACTACACAACGAATAAAAAATCTACAACATTTATACTCCATCCAACCATTTATATAAATTTTGACAGCTCGAATTCTAATCAATTGGTGATGTCCTAATGCGTTTCTGATTCGATTTTTTATAACAATCGATTTTATTTATCCACTTGATCGTCGGCGCACGTGACATTTGATACCTGTCACTTTTTTAATCAGATGGTACCTATTCTTATTGTTTACACTACGGGCGGCGATAACTCAAGTATAATATAAATACTTGACCCTCAAGAACCTATTAAGCTACATGGGCGATAAGAGCACTTAATTAGCTTTTGTTTAGAATACAGTTATGATTGTAATACGACGACTGTATTTGTTAATTTCTGAGTACACTAAACACTTCTGAGATATCATTTTACGCTTTAACTTCTAACCACTTTGTATATTCACTGTATTAAGAAACAAAACATATATAAAGATGACAAGCATTTAAATACCTATCGATTAACACTAGAATCATATGGAAATAATGTGTAACTATTTTTAAAATAAATTAATAACAGTCGCGGGTAGCGACGAAAATGGCATAAAAAAACTATAAGTCGCGCGGAAGAAAATTGACGAGTCCTATCACAACTTACAATGTAACGACCGAAAAAAGGTTTTAATACAACCTGTATTGAATAAAGTTATGTGTTTGAGCGATATGTTACTCCAAAAAGTATTTTAATAATGAATAAGCTATTGTGATTCCAATAAGATGTCAAATGTTAAAGTTTTAACACTATCTGAAAAAGCACATCCTGGCGATCATTTTTTATTAACAGGTCATAAATACAGAAATTAACTAATAAAGTTAAATTAAAGTCTTCATCAAACACTAAACGTCAACAATCCCGCCAAAGTTTTTTTTTAGTTTCTTTTTTAACCGACTTCAAAAAAGGAGGAGGTTCTCAATTCGACTGTATGTTTTTTTGTTTTTTCTTTGTATGTATGTTACGCGATAACTCCGGTATTTGTGAACCGATTTTCATGATTCTTTTTTTTGTTGGGAAGGGGGTACTTCCATAGTGGTCCCATTTCATTTTGAAGGAAATTATCCACCTCTAAGGGTGGCTGTTCACGCATGTAGATTCATTTTTATAAATAGCGCCTAAATTTTCTTAAGGAGCAATTATTTTAATGGTTGATTTTGCTATTTCTCCAAATCAAGGCGTTTTTCTCTCAATATTCTTTGAGTAATGAGAACCGATTTTTATTATCTCCAGTCACTATACAAGTGGCGAATTTAAGGATATTTCAATAAAACTTAGCAAATAGATGTAATTCCACGTACTTTTGAGGTCGGTTTTTTAGTACTCTGTACTGAGACTATTCTGTTATAGGGACGCATCATGAATATTTTTTTCTTTATACTAGGATATCGAGTATTACTAGTAAAAATTTGGTGTTAACGCGTGTGGTAACACCAAAGTTATTAGTAAAACAGTTCACCAATCGGGTACTGCAATTTACTGGTAACTATAGTTACCAGTGACGTTCGACCGAAAATGAAAAATTGACAGTTACTGGTAGCTATGGCTGCCAAAGAAAAATTTTAGATAGTGAACGTGGTTGGTTTAACAAAGAAGATATTGTCTGATTGCTGTGATGGTGCGTTTGACAATTTGTGTACTCAAGAATTAATAATTAATGTTAAATGAGGGTTCAACTGATGATTCCCGTTCATATGGAGAAGAATTCGATGATTCATTATAATTAACAAAAATAATTAATTATAATTCTTTATAATTTATTAGACAGCTACCAAAATTTCTCAATGTGAATAATCTTCGTTACTCTGTTGGCTCGATAAATATCGGAGCTAAAGAGCACGTCGCTTCACTTAAATTAAAAAGTAAAAGAGTCCAGAAAGTATCGTATTTTTATGTCTATGGCTGTATCGAGTTCTTAGGTTTTCGCGATTGCTATACTTAAGAAATGAAACTATTTTTCGCGTATATTTGTTTTTTCAAACAAACCAACGTTTCGAGCCCTTTAAATGGGACCATAGGACCTGTAAAGGGCCGGAAACGTTGGTTTATTTGAAATAACAAATATACGCGATTTAAATCCGGAATCCTTGTGTGTCAATAATTACGGAACTTCGGATGCATGCATATGTCAAAAGTGAAATAAATGGTTGCTTGGAGTGTAAACAAAAAAGCTGCAACGAAGCGTAAAATCAACAGCATCGCAACGTAATTTGAATAATCTCTCCAAAAACATCACGCAAAGCTCAAAACAAAAGAAAATTATATGCACTCATATTGATGCGAGATGCCTATTAGCCAATTCAATTCATCGATTCTATGGTGTAAATCTCTATGCGTAAATGTTCTGTTTTATGCATCAAGTAGTTGGGGCAATAATTTACTTTTATCTTTATCATTTCATTTCCTATCTACAAATATACCATAATTTTACAACTGCAACAAATGTTGTTTGTTTTTGGCACATTATGGCAGAATTAACAGAACCCATCCCATGTGAAATGATAACAATGTAAGTCGTGTCATTGACCTCGGGGCCCGGTTGCAGCTGTACTACCTGCGCCTACCCAAAGACATCAAGGACTACCGCGTGATCCTAATGGACGCCACGGTGGCCACGGGCGCCGCGGCCATGATGGCCATCCGCGTGCTACTGGACCACGACGTGCCGGAGCAGAACATCAGCCTCGTGTCGCTGCTCATGGCCGAGATCGGCGTACACTCCATCGCCTACGCCTTCCCCCAGGTCGGCTTCGTTTATTCACTTTTTGAGTAATCAAATGTGAGGCTCGGTGCACATCATTTATTGTAAAATAGGAATAAGTAAAGAACAGGAAAAGGAAGATAGGTCAAGGCGAAGGCTGTAACAAAACAAAACTTAAATTACATACAGGTTAGACATCTTACCCCAAAAGGGTCTGTATTTGTTTATTTATTCATGGAACACCAACAGCTTGAACCATTTACTAAAAACAGAGAAGGAAACATAAAGCCAATTGCAGGTTTCCACCTATAGCCTCAGACAAATCAAACAAGAACATTAAACAAACGAACAATAAACAGGATTTTTTGACAACATGCACTTATGTAAATATAACAACCCAATACCTTCGCCAGCAGTCACAAATTATTCAATAAATTAAATAAAATTTACAAATATTATGCTTTACAAGCAAGGAGTTAGGTTACATGATTTTCATTGGTATAACAGGTCAGAATTTGATATGAAGAATATGAAAAGATATGAAAATTCTTAGGAAGGTGTAATAAGTTGACATATCCCATGTGCCGGTTATTTCACCAGCACCCTTACCCTTTAAAACCGGAACACAGTAATCCTCACATTACCGCATAGTGGTGGCAGTACTTCCCTGGATGAACTCTTTCTCAAGGAGCTCTAATGCTACAAAAAAAATCGGCTCAAGGACAACTCTTAACTAGCCACTCGCGTAGCTTTATTATCACGCGGAAAACAGCGCGCGAAATTCAAACCGACCAATCACGTAACAGTCACTACTGTAGCAGCCAGAATCAAAACACATTATGTATAACTAAATACTTAGCAAATGTATTTGGTTAAGTTATTGCATTCGAAAATTTGGAATCAAATTTTTATTTTGTTTGACTAATTAAATTGATACAACAACTAATATCGTCAGTATCAGTAAATTTTCCGCTAATTCCAGGTGAAAATAGTGACGTCAGCACTGGACCCCGAAATCAACGAGAAATTCTACGTCCTACCGGGTATCGGCAACTTCGGCGATCGCTACTTCGGCACAGAACCCGACGAATGAGACAAAATATACGGCAAACGGTAGGTGCGAGGGAGACAGATTATGTTTGTCGGTACCGCTTCAACGCGCTAATGTACGTAGTAACTACGTTATCTATAACTGTTGCTTTCACGTAACGAACCTCTGTTTTAGTAAAAACTGTGCGCTCGTAAGTTCAGAGAGAGATCTGGATCGATCGTGCGCAATTACGCGCATTTAACTTCCAAATTATTCTTTACACTTTTGTCCGTAGTCGAATGGAGTATAGTTATATGAGAGAAGGAAAAGTAATGTTTCTTTTTCTTTTGTATATCATTCTTTCATTTGTGACTGTATGTGTTTGTGGTAGAAACGTGAGCTGTTGGTTTACCACTTTTCTCTCTTTATGTTTAGTAAACTTAGTCGTTGCAATTAAATGTATTGTTTTTGAGTCATGTTCTAGATTAAATAAGATTCAAATCGTAGCTTAACGTATGAAGGTCAATTGTCTCTGTCTACACAAGTAGGCGACAGGTATGACGGTATATTAAAAACGCAATGCCCCAATTTATTAGTTCCTTACTGTACCTACTCATTGTATGAATCATACAGGAAGTTATACAACGTGGACTAGATCCACATTAATATACATAGACATTTTTAAAGGAAAGCACAAAATGTTGAATTAGGATAACTTTCATATAAACCACGGACCGTTTATACGTTTAATCGAAATTAAAGGACTATTGGAGTCTTTCTTTTTTCAAATTATTAATTTCAAATGATTAATTTGAAAAAAGAATGACTTAAATCGAAATTAAAAGACTATTGGAGTCATTCTTTTTTCCAAAATTATTTGTTTCAAATGATTAATTTGAAAAAAGAATGACTTGAAACGAAATTAAAAGACGATTGGAGTCATTCGTTTTTCAAAGTATTTGTTTCAAATGATTAAATGATTAATTTGAAAAAAGAATGATTTAAATCGAAATTAAAAGACTATGGGAGTCATTCTTTTTTCAACATCAATCGTCTTGATTTGATTTTGATTCAACATTCTGGTAATTTGTCCACTGGTTCTTATGAAAGTTGTTATGACTATTCAACCATTTTTAGCATTCCTCTAAGAATGTCCATGAGTGTATTTGAAAGTGGGAGATCAAAGATGCCCAAAAATGCTACTGCTGCACCCCGTGTGTGTGGCAATAAAAATGCACGGCAAGACATTGATTTTACGTAATTGTTCGTATAATGTATGTTGTTATTTTTATCTGTTAAGAAAAGAATAGACTAAGTTTTGAATATTTTCCCTTTTCGATATAGCGTAAGAAGTGATTACTGTAACTACAAAACTCAAACTATTGACTGACGTGTATTGCGTAGACACGACCAACTACTTAATAGAATTCTAAGTTATTAGTTTAGAACAATTTTTGTCCTACTAGAAGGTGCTTACATGTTATCCCGCGTCCGAATAAATACCTTCACACGTCATACATATACGATGAAGTAATAAAAACCATTACCAATATTGGATTGACCAAAAATCTGCGAATGAAAAACAATTTAAACAATAAATATCACATTATATTGCTACATACGTTTATGTACTGTTTTTTACATAGATTGCTAAATACAATTATAAATGCTACGTTTTACACTGTTCCACTATGTTATACTCTTTGCCCGCCTTTAGTTGAAAGGGCGCATGTGACAAAAACTCAAAACAAAAGAAATAATATATATATTATTTTCTCGGTGTAGCGTCTGGCACGGTATGCTAGAAGGTGTAGGTTCGAATTCGGCCGGATCGAAAGACATTGAGAGTGTTCGATCTTTGTATTAATAATTATAACAAACTAGTGGAGTAATTTCACAAAAATAATTGAATATCAATTCAATAAAATTTAAAATACTGTGAATAGCGACATCTCCAGCCGGGGCTGGTAGCTGTAAAGGTATCTAACAGGGTGACGAAATACTTTCATAAGATTTCTCATAGATGGCGCTACGGCTAAAAAGTCGTTGAAAAACCAAATACAAAGATACGACAAAGTACATAGAAAAAATTGTGAAGTCCGCTGGTTCGTTCCGTGGTTTAGTTGGCACGATATGCTAGAAGACGTTAGTTCGAATCCGGCCGGATCGAAGGAATTTTTTCTGAGTGTTCGATCTATATCAATAATTAGAGAAAATAATGTTTAAAGAAACGAAAATGAAAAATATCTACTATTCTCTTGTGCGGTAACTTGATTTCTTCACTTCAAAGAGTAACAATAGTGATAGATCGGCCTTTTTTACTGATCACGGCAATATACATAACAGAATTTTTTTTTAAATGTCGGCTTGCGCTCTTTCCACAGACGGTGACAGCACTGTTCTATTCAGCGAGGACGAAGTATAACATGAAATACTACATATATTATACGCGTTACACTACGTTATGCACTTATACACTACTATTGTGTATATTATTACAAGTGCAAAATATTATAACAATGAAGGCTATAGCTTCACTACGTATCATCGCCCAATAACTCAAGACAACTGCTAATATCCATACTACAGACCGTAACTCTGAAAAAGGTCGCAATTCCGTCTTAAACACATATAGATGGCGCTGATCCATTGCGTGAAAGGATTTTGTATTATGTAAGCGGCCGATATCAGAATTCGGAACTTTGACTAAATGCATGTCGATACATTTAGTGTTACGAACTAATTTGTAAAATAAAGCTTCTTAATATGGGTAGATGGCGCTAACACAAAATAAAATAATAGTCGGCGGTACCATAAAAATCTGTGCAATAAGCGCCATCTAGTTGTTTTGTTTGTTATCACTAGAAATTAGAGTAGCGTGTACAAATTACTTACAGAAATACCTATTTGGTACGCATGACGACATCTGGTGTACCAATAGGTACTAAATACCCGACTACGCTGACTCTTGAATTATTATTATTCCATGCTTTGTGTATGTGTATATGTATATATATAGTATCGTCGAATAGAACAATGTTACGCTATACATAACACTCTACATACGCACTATTTTAACTCTTCTGTTTCTCTGTTTCTTAAAACCATCGAGTATATAACCAGAAATAGAGACGAAATATCATTTAATTTGTTTAAAAACTATTCTGCCAAATCATTACGGTGACAACTGCGCTCCGATTGGCCAGCCCGAATTCGAAACAATTGACGGGTGTCGTCAACTGTTTAACTTCAAAACGACCAGTTTAACTTGAGCCTTTCTATAATGGACGTAAATTTAAAAATTACATATTTAATTACCGATGAAATTGAAATGTGATTCCGTTTGTGTTGTAATTAGATGTTTTGCTGTTTTTCTCACACCACTGAATGGAACAGCCCCCCACATTGTTAGAGATGTTATATTTATTACATGTATTTAACATGTATATGTATTTATTGTAATAAATATAGAATATTTTTTTAATATACAGAGACGTACACACACGTCAGTTGTTGGCAATTATTTCAGCTTTCTAATTGGTGATTTCAGCGTAAACGAGAGTTGCTATTTAAAAGTGATATAAGGCACATTTGCTTGATGAGTTGCCAGAGATCGATGGCTTATTTCGTCTCTATTTCTGGTTATATATTCGATGATGAAAACAGTGTATGAATAGGTTGCTAATCAATAAAACTAAAATATATTTAAAAGAACGGTAAAAAAATTGATAACAATCTTCACACGAACCACTGCCGACATATACCAGAACGTTTAATTTAAAAAAAAAACTACTTCAATCATCTTTTGATTTAGATCAAACGTTCTGATATTGGCCAGTTATTCATATGAACATCTAAATATGTCCATAATTATAAGAAAACTTGCGGGATAGATAAAGTGCAAACTTAACAAGAAATGGTCCTTATTTTACTAACCATATAATGTATTTTCGCGTACCATTTTTATGACTTCCTGAAAAACATCTGGTCATTTATAGGGGCATTAATTTTATTTTTCTAGCGTCGACGTCTTGCTATGGAAGTCGACATTCTACTTATAGATCTTTTGTGCATTGTATGATAAATGGTAATTACTATCAATACATAATAAGGAAGGAATTAAAAATCGCAAATGATCTAAAGTAAGAAAGTGTGATATTCATCTAGTCTTCTTGAATACAAATCATTATAAATATTTGTTATAATAAATTAATAAAATGTTAATTAAAACGAAAATAATTTACTTACTTGACAAATTGGCGGTATTCTTTATTGGAATAAGTGTAAACTATTTTAATATTTTTCTAATGTTCACGTACGTACCATAGAACAAAAAACGTACATTTAACCAAAGATATACTTGTGCTTTACAGTAAATAGAACCAACTGTAACGACTCACCTTTCTTAAGTCAACTGTTCAACAAATTTAATCAACATTTAATAAAATACTGACACGCGCGCTTCCATAGTAATTGGTCGATATGTTTAATTGTAATCAATTATTAATTTAATCATATTTCACTGGCATGCGAAACATGTTTAGCAGTAAGATTACGTTCTTGAATGTACAATCTGGTGCTGAATAATTCACAAAATACCTATTTACAGTGAGAGCAAAGTAACCTGTCATATCTTTAGGGACTGCAATAGATTGATGAAGTTATCAATATCCCCGAATTCATGTTTCCTAATCTTGTTATGCGTAAGATGAGAACAGCATTTTTTTTTTTCATTTTAGTTTACTGAAGTGCGATGCAGTTGTGGGCCTTACTGGACCACACCGACTGCAACGCATTTAGCGCGCAATTTAGAGTCGAGACTTCGCTTATTCTAAAGTCTCCAAACAACCTCCAATAGACGAAACTGTGGTGCTTTTATGATAAAAATAGCAACTGAACCTAAGTTTTCCACAACAAAAATGTTATCAACTTACGTAGACTATCTTTCATTCCGAATTGGCACTGCCAAAATTTGTGTTAATTTTTAGTTCTGCAGTATTGTTTGATTTATGGTTAAAATTAGTGAATTAATTTAATTTTTATTGCATAATTTTTTCTTAAACAAGAATATAAATAATAATATGGCGACTGATTTTTGAAATCGTATTGACTGTTAAGAATCGCCAATATGACGTCATAATTACTATATTTTCCGCCCGGTAGTGTTTAAAAGATATTTTTGTTGTTGGTGTTTTATATTAATTTGATTTTGAAGTTAAAAAATAATTGTAGATCGTCCAAAGAATGTACTTATCAAAGTAATTTTTCATATTTACATTGGATGTGCTTTTATTTTTATTATTCATGACTTGAAAATGTTTCTTTTTTAAAAGTAAGAAATATATTAATGAGTTAAAATCAGAGATGGGCAAGCGACCGGGTTTTATTTATCGCCCAAAATAGAGAACAAAAATTTATTTACAATGTGTTGTAAATAGAGTTATGTTCAAATTGAATAATATTATTACAAGTCGCTTTCTAATCTAGACGACTTGCCTTTGTATTGATACAAAAAATCGTTACATCATATCGTAAACTTGAATCGATTTTCATAAAATTAAAATGCATCCTTAATATGGGAATCTACAGCATTGCTCTTTTTCGTCAAAAAAAAATATTTTTTACATCGAAATTTGTAATAAGTATGGAATTATACCAAATAACGTACTCGCCATTTCTGCCCACTGCTTTGGTTAAAAATCCTCTTAAAACCCGAGCGGCTTGATTGGGTTTTAACCCACTATCCATCTCTGGTTAAATGCATATGTAATCCAAACAATGTAAGGACTTAAAAAGGAAATCTTTCCAAATTATTTGAAAAATTTTATTGTGTTCTTTAGGTACTATGTCTT